TGCCACCCAGTCCCTCCGTCTCCCTCCCCTTTTCCCCCCTTGGAGCTTTCTGTTCTCTTCTCCATCCATCTGTATCCCAGGGGCATGTGTTTGTTTCCCAAAACCTAAGGCTTATGAAGTGGTCTTGCCTCCCATTTCTTGAGGACAGGAACTCCTTTTTTTCCTTCTTTGAAGGTCATCGTTGCGCTCGGGGAATTGGGCCAGAGGGGGGACTCAGCGTGTACTTGCTGAGATTAACCCGCCTTCTCCCCGTGAGTCAGGGGCCGCTGGATGGTGTGCGGCTTCTCTGAGTTGTCTTCCACGGCCCCCTGTGCCCTGATCGCGTCTCTGGCCCCTGACTTCTGCTCATTCTTTTTACGTCCTTTTCCTAATACGCCAGAAAGCAGATGAGTAAGCACCATGGAAGCAACCCCTGGGTGCCCTGGAGGTTGGATGGAGTGATTTCTGACTTCCCCTTTAAATAGACTGTTTTAAACTCAATTACCGTATTTCGCTTACATTCCAATTTTTAAAATAAGGTTTTATTAAAAAAAAAATAGGCGGTAAGTCAAAACGCATACAAAATGTATGAAATGTATACAAAGAGAGAAATCCCACCCTTACCCCCTGCTCATTCTTCTCCTAATAAAAATATGAATTTTTATTAGATTCTTTTCAATCCTTCCAGTATTTCACTGTACAGATGCAGGCAGATACGCACACTGATACAAGGAGGCACTATCTAAAGTGGCCTGGGGACTGTGGTAGCCCGTGGGAAGCGCGTGTTGAGAGAGGGAGCGGCGTGTGTAGGATGTCAGGCCGTTAGACTGGAGCTGTGCACGCGGCTCTGGTGAGATGGTGGCCTAGGAGCCCCGTGTTCTTGTCGCCACCGCCACGCTGTCTGTAAAATAATGATCTTACAGTAGCGAGTCGTATCAAGCAAACAAATATATTATAAAGTAAGTAATTTTGGAAAAAGAAATCACCAGGTATGTTAGTATGTTTTGGTTTTGGCTCCTGAAATTGTGCCATTAACTGAGTTTCTGAACTATTGTTACAACAATAACAGTACTGTTACTGGAAAATTTTTAGAATAAGAGGACTTTACAGAACAAGTCAGATGCCTTCATTGTACAGAATCCCTGTGAGGTTAAGGGCCTGGTTGAAGGTGGTGGCTCAGCTGGAACTACTCCTGACCCCTAGGGCAGGTGGTGGTTGGTGTTTTGACCATACCAGTGACTTCTAATCCTTTGGAGCATGAGGTCTCTCTTTTAAATTCTGAACATTTCGCGTACACGGGCATCATAGTGGTGCTACGTTGATTGAGAAGTTCTGTGATGTCAGAATGCCACTCTGGGTTTAGCAGTGTTTTTAAGTGAATCTTCTGTTATTCACAATGACATCTAGATAGAGGAAAAAGTGTAATTATCTTGGCTGTGCATGCTGTTTCCGGTACATACGTGTTTTCAGATACCATGCCATATCCTCAGCACGACTCCAGCTTGGGAATCACTGAAGCATACGCTTCCTTGTGGGTTAGACACCCCGCTTCTGGGTTCATAGCTCACCTGTTCTTCTCTTAGAATACTGAGACCTGTCATCTTGATAGTCCAAGTTCACGTGAAGCCCGGGCTGTGTAGATTAGATCAGAGATCGGCCAAACTGTGTGCTGTCTTCCCTGCACAGTCTACATATTATTTGTTCATTTAAAATGAAAAAAAATATTTTTTAATGTTTTTATTTTATTTTTGAGAGAGAGAGAGCGAGCGTGGGAGGGGCGGAGAGAGAGGGAGACACAGAATGGGAAGCAGGCTCCAGGCTCTGAGCTGTCAGCGCAAAGCCCGACGCGGGGCTCCAACCTGTGAACCACGAGATCATGACCTGAGCCGAAGTTGGACGCCTAACTGACCTAGCCACTCAGGCACCCCGTTCATTTAAAATGTTTATCTTACACACATACGTTTCTTACACACATACACGCACAAAGGAAAGCGGAAATACTTCTGTTTCACAATTTTAATATATTGCCTCTAATGAAATTGTGAAAAAGTTCTTTGGGTACGGAAGTTGATGTGAATGTGTAACCCTCGCCATTTATCTTTGTTCTGGTGTTCTAACACTAGGTACTAAAGGACATGTGTATTGGTTTTACCATCAAATTTTTGAAATGAGATTTTATGAGAAATTACTGAGAATAAGGATTTAAGGATTCTTTTTTCCTTTGAAATTACTAAAATAGATTATAACAATTCTTGGTAATTGATCTTGTATGTAGAACTCTAAATTGAGTGTTTCGCTGAATTATACATACTAGTGTGGGATTTTTTTTTTTAAAGTAAAGGTAGT